TGGTGTCCCCTCTCTACTGGGGAGTTCGACTGTGGGTGATAGGCGGTGGCTATCGAAACTCTCGCACCGGCTCTCCTAAACACGCTCTGAACCTCGTCGGCTAGGAATTCCGCCCCTCTGTCCATCACTATCTTGCTGACACAACCATACCTAGATAAGTACTCTAGGACAAAGTTTTTTACTTCCTTTGCCGCCTTACTCCTGATAGGTCTACCGTCCACGAACCCAGTGAAATCGTCTCATATGTTCACGACGTAGTTCATATTGTCTACCCCTCCCGGCATTTTCACTAGATCGATGTGTACCTTCTCTCCTGGTCTGGTCGGATAGGATGGATGAAGTGGCTCTTTGTATTTCACAAGAGCTCTCTTCTGGCACTCTTCGCATGTCATACAGTACCTCTCGACGTCCTTATACTGCCCTTCCCACCAGTACAGCCGGCATATCTTGTCGTAGGTTCATTTAACTCCCCTGTGTCCTCCGACTATACCGTCGTGAAGCTCCGCAACTATCGTCTGTCTCTCCTCACGATCACAGACTACTCGTAATGGCATTCCCGACTCTACTGGTCTTCGGAAAAGGTGGCCCGCTCTAAGGCTGTACTGGGCTGCTTGCCTCCGGATATCTGAATTTTGACTCTCCTCTCCCGTTAGGTGTAGTCCGATCATTCGGTACTTGCCCTCGTAAAGATTAACTAGAAATCTCTCGGCGCGTCTCAGCTCTGCCATTGTCAGGGCCCCAGCTACTATCGGACGCTCGAGAGGGATGCGTGAAAGTCCATCTGCCACGGCATTTTTAGTACCAGATATTCTCTCAACCGTGTAATCGTATAGCCGAATTTGTATTAACCATCGGGCGATGGTCGGGTCCGTCAAACTAAAGTCCTTCTGGAGGACAGAGGCAACCGCGGTGGGGTCTACTCTCAAGATGAACCGTCGCTCATAGATATAGTGTCTGAAAGTGTCTAGACACTGGAGAACAACTAACATTTCCTTCTTGAATTGACTGTAGTTACGCTCAGCCGTATTAAGTGTCCTACTCTCAAATCTTAACGGTTTTTCCTTCCCTCCAGCGTCCTTCTGAGACAGCAAACCACCCACTGAACATGGTCCAGCATCCGTGGATACTATGAAGGGTCTCTCGATCTCATCGTCAAAGAATGTCACACCCAACACGCGTCCTCCTTCCTTAAATTCGTCTTTAAGTTCTTGCATAGCAAGTTCCTGCGAAGAATTCCAATAGAAGTTTTCAGTCTTTCGAAGGAGTAACCTCAATGGCTCAGCCTTCTCCGCATACCCCCGTATGAATATACGCCAGTAACCGACCACTCTTAGAAACTGTCGGACCTCGGTTGGGCTATGTAACGGTGAGGGTCAATTCAGAAGTTTGTCTAACTTTGCCGGATCTGCTCGACGTCCTCTCGAGTCACAAATAAAACCCAAGATCTTAATAGTCGAGACGGTCCATCGGCTCTTTGTTCCACTGACTGTTAAATTCGCATCGTCCAGCTGCTCGAGTACCGCGCAAATATCTGTTAGGCGTTGCTCGACGAATCTTCTAACTCCAGGTACAACCTTTGTCTCATCCCTGTCTACTGACCCTTTTATAGGAAAGTCATCCAGAAAAACTTCAACCTTATCAAGGATGAAGTCCTTGAGGACGGCTACCATGGCTCTCTGAAAAACGGCTACCCCATTAGTCCAACCCATAGGGACAACCATCATTTGAATTAGTCCCAATGGCGTATGCATAGCCGTGAGGTGCCTGTCCCTAGGGTCAAGCGGTACCTAATCATAGCCTGAGAACAGATCACAGACCGAATAGATCGACCTACCTGTTGCGCCTTCTGCCAGTAAATCGGCGTGTGGCACGGAGCCCACGTCTCGTATCGTCATCGCGTTGACCTTCTAAAGGTCCTGGATCCATCCGATCTTGCCATTCGGCTTTCGTAGGAAGAACCATCGATTAGCATAAGCGCTATCAGACGGCTCCGCAACGTGGGAAACCATTTTTTCTTTCAGGAAAGCGATAACTTATTCCTTCTCCTTCTGGGCGTATTTCCATCATGCGTCATTCCAAGGAACATGTGGAATCGTATAAATCCTCGTTGGCTTAGCGTATCGAGGGTCAATCCTACTGCGCTCCTCGTCGCTGAAAGCTATTGCCTTATCACATGTCTTCAGAATTTCTATCACACGTCCTCGCTCCTGTGGGGTCAGATTTCCATCTCCGGTGTCCATCCCTGCTATCCTCTCTTCCGTTAGGCTTTGTGGCTCCTTTTTCCTTCTTTCTTTGATTTCTTTCGCGATCTCTTCTTCTGATACCCCTTCCAGTGCCGATCGCTCGCGGCCCACCACCGCTGGCTTAACTTTTTGAGTTACTTGCTTGTGTCGCTTGGGTAGCCCCCCATAGGGGGCCGTGCCCTTAAAAAAGACACGGATACCACACCGCCAAATTCCTCATCTTTTTCCTTTGGGTACGAGTTGCCGTCCACTATTAGCCGACTCCCTAAATCTTCCACCTCCACGATCCGACCTTCTTCCTCTGTGAGCAGTGGTCCATATCTCTTCTCGCGAAATCGCACCGCGCGGCCGAAGATAGGTAACGACTTAATTTGATCACTGGGTCTTGCACCCACAGTGAGAGCTGCTCTGTTCCTCGGGTCCCGAGGCTCCACTGTCTCAATCATTACCCGCGTCCCGTCTGGCTTCCTAATGGACAATGTTTGGCTCCCATCAGGTCGCTCTATCGTCACTGCATGCACGTGGCTCAGCCACGTTCGACCCAAGAGCAAGTCGGAGCTGCAGTTCTTGACCGCAAAAACAGGCAGGGTCACTCGTACCCCTTGGACCTCTATGGCTGCCTT